CCACCCGTACACCCACCTGTACATCCCACCCACCTGTACATCCATCCACCCATCCATCCATCATCCATCCATCCACTCATCCATCCATCCATCCAACCATCCATCCATCCACTCATCCATCCATCCATCCATCAATCCACTCATCCATCCATCCATCCATCCACCCATCCATCCATCATCCATCCATCAATCCATCCACCCGTACACCCACCTGTACATCCCACCCACCTGTACATCCATCCACCCATCCATCCATCATCCATCCATCCATCATCCATCCATCCACTCATCCATCCATCCATTCAACCATCCATCCATCCACTCATCCATCCATCTATCCACCCACCCACGTGTCCATCCATCCATCCACTCATCCATCCACCCACCCACGTGTCCATCCATCCATCCACCTGTACATCCATCCATCCATACATCCACCTGTACATCCCATCCACCTGTACATACACCCATCCATCCATCCACCTGTACATCCATCCATCCACTCATCCATCCATCCATCCATCCACCTGTACATCAATCTATCCATCCATCCACCTGTAAATCCATCCATCCACCTCGCCAGCCACTCACCCATCTATCCATCAATCCATTCACCCATTACCATCCATCATCCATCCATCTATTTCTTCATTGTCCACTCATCGACCACCTGTCCGCCTCTCTGGTGCCTACTCATCATTTACGAATCCCTCACACATGAGCGAGTCCATCTCGTGCCTCGGGGAGCCACGTGCTAGAGCCCAATGGCGGCCCGGCTCCTGGTCTCCGGGAGCGGTGCAGCGGTGGGGGCGGGACAGCACCCATCAGGGCCCTCCTGGTTGTTCACCTTGCTCATGTCTCACAGATCAGACCCGGGCCCGGAGCCCCAGGGCAGAAGGCTCCCCACTGAGCTGGGCTGGGAGTCCAGGAGGCACCCAGGAAATGCCCAAGGTGAGTCAGCGCAGACGTCCCCTACTTCTTCTCCTTGGGGGCTTCTGCCTCTCATTGGGTGCCCCAAAACTTCCGGGCCAGGCACCCCACTAGGCTAGCCCAGTGGCCAAGAGCCTGTCCATTTACCTCAGGTCTCCCCCTTCCTTCTATGAGCAACCAGGCCCCCACCTGCACCTTCAGCAAGGTGTCCTACCAGGTACCCCAGAAAGGGTGCTGCTGGTTTGAGGGGGGCCTGGAGGGCTGGGGGAGGGCCACCCAGAGGTGGTGGGCTGCTCCCTCGTGAGGGCTGGCTTGGTGATAGGAGGCCAGGCATGCCCCTTTCCCTCTAGTCAGTGTGTCCCCCAGAGTGGTTCAGGCAGCCCCGACCCTGAGATCAGGCTGGGCAGGACAAGCAGAGGACGAGCGAGGGTCTCTGGCCACCCACGGCCAGGTGTGTGCAGAGTTTGTATCAGAGAGAGACTCAGACCAGACCAGCCCCTGTCACAGCGTGACCGTCAGACCTGGGACAGACCAACCCCCACGGTGGGAGTTTCACAGTGTGAGGACCACCGGGGGGGGGGGGGCTGCCTACCCAGCGCACCCTCCACAGCCAACTCCCTGTCCACGAGTGGCCGCCCCTCCATGGACAGGTTGGTCTGCAGGGTGCTGCCTTAGGTGATGTGAGGGTGAGGGGTGGGGGTGGGCTGGCCCTGGGGTGATGGCAGATCGGCCTCAGCCCCCTCCCTGGGGGCACTTCCATTCCGTGCGGAGCAAGTGCCAGCAGCCGCCGGGCCCCGTGGCTCTGCTGTTGGATTTGGTGACTTGGAACATAGCCTCGGAGATGGCCCGGAAGGACTCTTCGTCAGATAGGCAGGGTCTGATGATATCTGGGGACTTGCTGAACAAGAGACCTCTCTGAGGATGTGGTCGTGGCCAGTGACTCTGGAGTAGGGGGGCACCTCACCTACACCGCCCTTTGGGTGCTGTGTACAGGCCTGTGTCCTGGGCTGGGACTGTGATTCGGCAGAGAAGGCCCTGCCCTCGGGAACCCGGACCTTCACCCCTGCCCAAGAGCGGCCTGTTCTCCATTGCAGAAGACCCCCTTGTCGTGGCTCACCACGCCCTGAGTACTCTCCTTACCCCATGTTGGTGCAGAACCCCTCCTTCAGCAGAGTCGCTCTGCTCTGGCTTCTGTGGGTGCATGCCTGTCCCAGCTGCCCGATGTCCCCCGGGCACCTGACGACACACCTTCTCCAAGCTCCCATTCCCAGCCCCTCCTGCCCGGTCTCCTCCATGTCCCTCTGCTCCTGAGCCAGCCTCCTCCAAGTTCAGGGTCTTAGACCCCAGGAGCAGACTTCAGCATGCCCTGGCTCCGTGGTCTTGGTCAGCCCTGGGTCCAGCCCTGAGCCCTGGGAGGCGGCGGCAAGGAGGCTTGGAGGGAGTCGCTCTATGTTCCCACACTCACTCACCACCGCGCCTCTGCGCTCCTGTCTCTTGGACCCTGAAGCAGCCCCCCACCCCCCACAACCTCAGGTCCTGTGTGGTTGCCAATCTTCAGCCCAGCACAGGCTGAGCCCCTCAGAACTCTCTCGAAGGGTCCAGCTGTGAGGCAGAGGCCCAGGCTCAGATGGGCAGCCGGGGCAGGGCGTGGGGGGTGGGGCTGGACTCAGTCCTCAAGGCCCCCCTTTTCTGACCTAGTGGTCTCTTGAGGCCCGGCAGGTCCTCCCACACCTCCCTGGTGCTTGGTCAGTGACTGGTTGTTGCCACGACATTGCACCCACGGTTGAGAGCACGGCGTCGAGACGGCCGCTGGAACCCTGTCGCTAGTAGCTGGGCAGCTGGGCAGTCTTCTCCATGCCCACTGCCGGCGCCCCGCCCCGCCCTGCAGAACGCCTGAGCGGTTCACAGGGGCTGTGCTCATTGGTCGGGAGCCCCTCCCTCTCAGTGTGGCAGGTGGGCCTCTGGCCCAAAGACGAGTTCAAACAGAAAAGGCGGGGCAAATGACCCCTCTCTCCTCTTTCCACTCCATCTCAGAAAACTGAGCTCTGTGACCTACCAAGGACCCAGCCAGCACCCAGCACCCACCACTCAACACCCACGTGTACGGTTTTCAATTTTGAGTCCCGTGAAAATGGCTGGCTTTTATGACACTGATTTATTATACCCATCATTATCTTATAAACATACAGATTATATTACATGCCATGTTTGTTTTATATTACATGTAATTATATACTATAGCCATAATACACTTTGTGGATCAAGCACACTCCTTGCCATCATGCCCACTCGGCTCACAGCGACCCTACAGGACGGGGCAGAACTGTGCCCCCGTGGGTCTCCAAGTCCGTCACTCTTCACGGGAGTAGGAAGCCCTGTCTTTCTCCCTCGAGCAGCTGATGGCTTTGAACTGCTGACCTCTCAGTTAGCGGCCCGATGCACAAGCTCACGACACCGCCAGGGCTCCCGCCTTTGTGGGACAGCCCCTCAAGTAAGGTCTGCGTCTTTAAAAAGAAAAAAACGTTTAAACAGCTGCAGTGGCACGTAATCCCCTTACCAGAAGTTCGATTGTCAGTCACAGCAAGAAGCGCTGTGCACGCACCCCAGTGGGTTTCCTCTCGCTTGTATTCATTGACTGCTTCACACACACTGTCTGTGAGCTCCCATCGCCCCACCCTCCCGTGCCGCACCCCCCAGACGCCATTGATGTAGTTAATGTCTGTTGATTTACCTTCTCCTGGATTTCATCTCCAGAAAAAACATACCCAAAAAACTAACAATGGAGAGAGGGGGACAAAGAGGAGCTGATACCAAGGGCTCAAGTAGGAGATGTTTTGGAAATGATGATGGCGACATATGTGTGAATGCGTTGACACCATGGACATACGGAATGTGTTAAGAGCTGTAAGAGCCCCCAGTAAAATG